GATAGGTGTTTGATTTCATATTTGAGCCTCTCCTATACCCTGTAACAGTTTCCCTGTTCAGTCTCAATTCTCCCTCTTCATGTTAAGCAGCTTCTCAGGGTGCATACTTGCTGTGCAGGCATATTATAATTATTGCCCCTCCTACACATTGAGGATTACCTCCAGGAACCTGCCTTTCCAAAAGACAGGCGGATAAGAAGCTTACCTAATTCCACACTGATACTGTGCATCCACACAGTGTTCTCATGTGCACTGAAACACTCTACACTGATTGCTGTTTCTCTGCTTGGAAAGATTTGCACCAGCTTTTCCATATGAATGTGTAGACAACACTGAAATAGGTGGTTTTGGTTGTCTGCTGGATTGGAATCTCTCGCCTCAGGAATCCCAGGATTAGCCTCAGCTGCTGTGACTCTGCCCACTGTGGACTGGGAACTCGTCAGCACATTGGCCTGCCAATCTATCATTAGCTGATGATAGCAGTACATTATGTTTCCTTATCATCAGACAAAACCAACTCCACAGTAATTAATGTGGGCAAATTACCAAGCATGACATGCTGGGCAACAAATCACAAGAGGGTGGTGTGTCCAGATTGGCTCCGCCCTCATCCAGCTGAGACATGCAATGCCACATTGGGAAGGAGGCATTTGTAGACCCATTTTTTAATTTTAATTGTACTCTTCTTCATAATTCTTTGTCAGAAATGAAAAGAAAGAGAAAGTGAAATGGGTATGTGACAAGTTTGACTGTGACTGGTTGGTTTGCATATCATTACCATCTATATACCTTTTCTCCCTCTCTCAGGCTGTCCACCTGTCATTTACCACCCACTGCCTCACTGCCTTCCGTTTCTTCACTCTTGCTCATTTTCCCTCCTTGTACCCTTCATTCTCTCCCTCCCCCTCACACAGTTTTCCTCTCAGCCTAGATATGACAGTGACATGTTTCATTATCTCACCTGTTTGTTTGTAGTATTCCTTTGTCCACTGTTTTTTAAAATTTTATTTTGCTGTCCATTCATACAAAAAAAGAAAATCCACCTTCTCCTGTGTGTGTGTGTGTGTGTGTGTGCATATGTTTTTGTATGGGTTGGGTGTGACCTGGCCTCACTGTATCTAGCTGCTGTAGCATTTTCTCCAGTCCCAGAGCACTGCAGAGTGCAGGGAAATCATTTTTCTCTGTGCTAAAAACGACCTTTTTTATTGGGTAAAAGAGAAAATCCACCCCAAAATGCTTGAACACAGTTAAATTCTTTACTGGTGACTGGAAAACCCAACATAATGTGTCATTGATTCTACAAGTCTCTGGACTCTATTGGAAGGATGACCACCATTCTTCCAACAGATATTCCATCATTTGGGGTTTTGATAGTGGAAGCACTGTCTAACACATTGGTCCAAAACCTCCCATAGGTGTTCAAATGGGTTGTGATCTGGTGATTGTGAAGGTCATAGCATATGATTCACATCATTTTCATACTCATCAAACCACTCAGTGACCCCTCATTCCCTGTGGATGGCAGCATTGTCACCATGGAGGAAAACACTCCCATCAGGATAGTGTATCAGTGTTTTGTGGGTTTACAGAGGATGATGTGTGTCAAGGAGGCCTTAATCCAGTGACCCTTAAATTTAGCTGCAGGGTAGCAAATTCACATACTGTAGCTACAAGCATTCACTGTGTTCTCTCTCCCTCCACACACACACACACACACACACACACACACACACACAGTGATTTTTGTGCTTGTCATCCTGTCAACATTAGGTTTTTCATTGACCTTTGATTATCTTTCTGAAAGCTGGCCAATCAGACAACATCGAAGAATGTCTTTGCTTTAGAAGAGGAAATCACTCCACAGTGGAATGTCCATTTGTGTGCTTGTTGTAATTCAGACAAAATGTGTACTGTACACTACCCAGAGTGCACTTATAGCCTCATACAGCAATGTCTGTTACAAATACGAAGATGCTTCAAAGTTGCTGTGGCTTTCCTGCAACGTAACGATCATAGATGAGATTCACAAGTGTTTTGAAAGGCTAACGCTTCGTAGCCTGTTCTCAATAGTGGCTGGTAGATTGTCAACCTGCAACTAGCTAACACTTTCATTATTGCTTGATTTTCTCTGGGTTTTCCCTGTCATTGAAAGACTTAACTGGTGCACATAAGGCACATGGATGTGCCTTATGTGTAAAGATACACGTTTTCTATCAAACATGACAAATAAAAACAGCAACTATCACCATGAACTAATGATTTTAGCTTTCTGCAAGCATAAAAATACTTTCTACAAACTTTTTTTTGTACAGATTGACAATGGTTTTTGTAACCTTTGTTTGTATAGATACCTTATGTTTACCATTCCTGTTCTTAAGGTATGTGACCAGTCACAGTCAATGCATAGCAAATTCTCCATTAATTTCTTGCTCTTAATTTGTTTTGGTAATTTTTACTATGAAGTGAAAATCTGAAGACTTGGTCTTTTTGGCACAAGATTTGAGACTTAATTGTTAACACACTTGCCAGTCAAAGCTGCCAAACATTCACTGGTTGCAGTTTCTCAAATGTAAAGATTTGCTGAATTTCTCTTATGTATCTATATATGGACTACCATAGGGCTTTGAAATGCTGGTCAGACAAAACATGCTATTTCAACAAATGATTAAGAATAAAATATTGATTGCCTCATCAATAATGAAACTAGTCATTAGCTACAGTCTACTTTGACACCCCTTCTCTACCCATAGTAAAATCTGGTCCAAGTGTTCTCAGAAATAGAGGTTGAGCGAGAGCTCTGGCTGCATCAGCTTCCTTTCATGCATCATCCATAAAGAACTACAGGCTCCCTCTTACAGGAGCACAGTGGGAAATGTAGTTGATCACGCTAATTTGTTTTTGTGGCACCCTGGGGGAAGTCAGGAGACAAATGAGAGGAGGGTAGAAGAGTAAAAATAGAGACAAGTCCTGATTCTCATCCATCTCCTCCGGTGGCAGAAAAGAATGTTCATCTCATTAGCATACAGTCAAAAATATGACGGCATGCTGAGAGCAAAGACTGGAGTACAGTTCATTATGAGTGCCCGAGAGGGAGGGGTGTGTGTGTGTGTGTGTGTGTGTGTGTGTGTGCCATAACATTAGTTAAATGCTAGCAGAGAAGTTGCTCCTCCCTTTTACTTTGTAGTCATTATGTAATACATGGCAACAATTTGCGTGTATGTGTTCACCACACTACAAGACACACAGACTTGTAATGTAGCGATGTTATGTAAAATTATTCCTTCAGTTTCTTTCTCAGTTATGTTAAACATATAAACACACTAATTAATGGTTCTCATAACCTGTGCAGGAGAGTAGAGGAGAAATCTTGCACTGAAACCCAAGCTGAGAATGAAAGAGGTCAGTTGGGTACTGAGGGTCAAAGACAGAGCAAGAGAAAAAAGATACAGTTGGGAAATATATGACTTGTCTGGGTCATCAGTCACACAAACCAGACCTCTGTCCGGTCTGAAGGACAAAATCTAGGCCCATTCAGTCCTCCTCTGTGTGTGTTGAAGTTGAGATGTGGGTTTAATCACTTCAGGGAATAGTGTGTCTAAATATAGGAGTTGTTTGAACAGGTTTTCACTTATTAAATATCTCCTGACAGCCATCCGTTCATGTCTGACAGAATATTAGCAGCACAGCTGGAGGATCATTGGCACCATCACACCCATGAGATCCAGCTTGACGTTAATAGGATGATAGTTGATAGTTAAAGTTATTGCCGTGAGGATTTTTTTTTTTTTGCATTCATTCTCATACTATTTATTCCTGACAAACCGGTATGTAAAACGAATCAGTCTTTGTGTGTGCCACTCCAGAAGATTTTTCCCAAGAAAGAGAGACAGTATTAGAGACTGAGTGTTGAGGACATGGTGCAGCTTTTATAAAGCAACTGAAAGTTCAGTCGCTGTTGTGTGGTCATCAGTAAATATGATCCAGTGCTTGCAGACACTGATCTATAGGAAAACAGCACAGATTAGTAGTCTAAAAAAAGGCAGAGTTGAAGTAGGTAAAATAACTGTATATAGTCCTTTTTCTCAGCTGACAGCTTGTTGGCCTTGTGTAATGGTGCCATTTAGAAAATTGTCTGACTGTGGCTTGTACTGAAGGTGAAGGGAAATTTTTAAAGCTGAAACGCATCAGTGTCTAAACTGAGAACGTACAGTGGCAATACCCAGGATTTAACAAGTTAAAAGAAAATTTGTTCAATAGGGTAATTAGGGTAGTAATTTTAGCTTTATGGATAGCAGTGTCTGCGTGTCATTGACTCCATGCACTGGCACAGTGTACAGACGTTTGCAGTTTCCAGAAGATGATTCCTAACCCTGACTTTTCCTCAGGTGTCGCTATGAGGTTGACATTTGTGGTTTTGAGTGACATGTCTGGGAATTGCAGTGGCCTGTGTCATGTAATGTTGCTTTACCCCATTTTGCCTTTGTTACAGCAAGAGCTACAACAGTTTTTTGTTTCCCTGAAGCTCCCCTGAGTTTGGCCTCACTTTGTCTCACAATTACTGTTTCTCCGACCACAGTGTCTCTGCTTCCTCCTGGAGTATGCAATATGTGCGGTTGTGTAAGTTAGAGGGAATCTTATTTTTTCCCCATGACTCAGTCCCCTGGCTTTAAAGCAGCGTATATCCAGATTATAAGTGGACAGAATCGGTTCTGTCCCAGACAGTGTCCTGAAGAAAGAAACAATTATGGCTCACTGATTGGTAAGGAACTTTCAGTTGCTTTATAAAAGCTGCACCATGTCCTCAACACTCAGTCTCTAATACTGTCTCTCTTTCTTGGGAATCTTCTGGAGTGGCACACACAAAGACTGATTTGTTTTACATACTGGTTTGTCAGGAATAAATGGAAGAACTGGGTAGTTGGTATGAGAGGCAAAAAAGGGACATTTTATTTTTTTATTCCTTCCATTCAAACCTCATTGCATCATCTGTCTCTATCCAGGTTTCAGGAGAGATGAGGAGATGAGAGCGATGGAGGTGCTTCCCATCCTCAAAGAAAAAGTTGCCTTTTTATCGGGTAAGTTTATTTGTGTTTGTGTGAATATGAGCCTAGTGTCACAAATCTACTGTCCTCAACTGTCTGATCATTCGAGATAAGGCTGATGATGAAACGTACACAAGCAACTCCCAGGCATTAAACTGTACATATTAACAGCTTCTTTCACTCTCTGTCAATCCCTGTTTGTCTCTCACACATTTAAACACACACATACACAATGTGGATATAATAATAAGCCTATAAAAACTGATGAGGTCAGACTGAGGCACAGACACTTAACCCTTCACCCTTCATCAGTCACATACACGCATACACAGAGACTACACACAGTGGACACTGACACAGACATTTATTGTGCATTCAGTGTCAGCAAGGCAGAATAGAAAGCTACAGCTTCCTGTGTCTTTGCCCCCTCCAAGGGAACCATATCTGACACACACACACACACACACACACACACACACACACACACACACACACTCATGCACACTTGAGCCCTGCCAGGGGAAACTCACAGGAGGCCAAACTGGAGATACAGACTGCCAGGAACATCCAAGTAGAATTATTTGTACAACTAAAACATTATTTGTCTCATGCATGTGTTTGTGTATGTGGCTTTTCATCACATGTACTGTCTCTATGTGGATATTGGAAAAACCTTTGTACAGCAGGTCTGAGTTGTTCCAATTGGAATAACAAAGTGAAATGTGTGTTAATTAGTGTGTGTGTGTTTATGCTGTGTACACACTCCTCTTTGGTCCCATTGTGTGCGCAGCGAAGGTCACAGGCAGAAACAAAATGATGAGGACAGTGACTCAGACAAGCGCACAGAAACAGAGAGACTTGATGGCATTGCCATGGAGATGACTAACTGTCAGCTGTTGCATCCCCTAGTAGTCGCTGGCAAATGAAGGAGGGAGGGAATTAGAGGAGGGACTGCTGCTGAAAAGGAGGGTAAACGAGCTAAGCCTATTATCCTGAATCTGGCCCCTTAATAAATCGGCCATGTTTGCCCTCCGTCATGCTTGCCTGTTTGCCACATGAGCATTAGATTTTTTCCTCTACACAGTTGGGGCGAGCCTAGAGGTGCACAGTAACCCGACTCAACTCACTAATTTGTGGGCTGAGCACAGTCAGCCTGTGTTTACAAGTTCCCATGCGAGTGGAGCAACTCGTTGCAGCTGGTCAGGAACTAGGAGCAAAATGGTTCATGAAACGCTTATCAGTTCAATTCTATGTTTGGGAAATGGAAAAGAGAAAATTTGACAATTGAATTCAGTTTTCTGAAATTGTATTTTTCAGTTGTCAGATCTTGTAAAACAGATTTTGGCTCTTTTTTTTTTTATTTCTATCATGACAAAAAAAAAAACTGTAAACAGGACATAAGAAAATCAGAGTAGTGATTGTTTCGGTTCAGGCAGAGGGTGGGATCTAAATGCTGGCTCCACCTGCGTCTGATAAGTCAGCAGTGCAGTTCATCTCTCTAATCACCCCACCTCTACTCAAGGGATGCTGTAGGCACTTTTATTAGTAATTTTTATTGGGTCAAAAAGCATCTTTTGTTGTACAAAATCTGTATGTATACAGCAATGCTCTGAATGCGTGTTGTGTTTTAAATAAATGACCATTTTCTTGTCTGCATTTAGATTGAATGTCTCCTGGAGCATTAATTAGATAACGTCAACATTTCTAAAATGTTCAGTGTTATGGTTTCTCCGTGTCTGCTGCCGTTATATTATTAGATTGCTTCCATTACTTTTGGGTTTCTAGCAGTGCGACCCTCAAATCAGTCACAAATCTCTTGCCAAGTGCATTTATTTTAGCGGGCTCAGCGTATTTGTCGAGCCTATTGCTCATATATTGGATTAGCTAACTTGTTACTATGATGCGTATTATATTCCAGTCAATTTTTTCAGATTTAGTAACACAAATATAGCAGGTCATTTTAAATAGCTGTTTAAAAGAAGACTGTAAATTCTCAGTGTGGGTATTACAGCTACCTAAATGGGCACAAATGTACTAATGTCTTCTGTCATGTTCTTCCTCTAATCTGACTCTCAATGTGTGTATCCGTGCGTGGCTTCAGGTGGCAGAGACAGACGTGGCGGTCCAGTGTTAACCTTTCCATCACGCAGCAACCACGACAGAATACGAACCGAAGATCTGAGGAGATTGATTGCCTACCTCGCCGGCATTCCCAGGTTTCACAATTTTTACATTTGTTCTATAAGGTGCTTCTGAGTGCAATAAGTGTTTGTTGTCTTTTTTAAGGAGAAGAAGCAGCAATGCCTCAAAATGAAGCGAACGCCCAGAATAAGTGGATGAGGTTCTGTAAGCAAACACGTGAGAGAACTGAGATGAGCATGTGAGGGGTGAGACAGGAACGAAGAGAGAAATAATTCAAGAGCAGTTAGCTGGCTGCAGCTTTTTTGCTGCCAAGAATCCATTATAAAGAGATGTTATGCTGAGATGCTGAGGCAGAGAGGGAAAGCCTGAACTAAGACAGGGATGTATAACAGAAAAGAAATGGAGGGATCAACAGGGAAAAGCCAGTAGAGCTAGAGAGGCAAAGGGAGGGGAGAATAAAACTGACAGAGATGGAGAGCGCATGTGTGAGGAGGTGTGTGTGAGCGAGCGAGCGAGCAAGTGTGTGTGAAAGCAAAACAAAGTGTCGCAGTAGCTGAGGCAGTGCAGCAGCTGTAGTTACTGTGGATGAGTAGCTCCTTGCTTAGCAGGTAAATCATCTCTCCACCTCTGTTTCATTCTCTTTAGCCTAACAGTCACCTCCTTCCTCTGTTATCCATCTATCCTCTCTCCATCTGCTCTCATGGCCTTTTAAATCATATCACCACATTGTGTTTGTATGGTTGAAATGTGAGTACACCCATTGTAAATCTCTGTCTTTGACCAGTTTTGTCCACTAGGCTGGTGATACCCTGCTGTCATCATGTCATGTGTTGCATATCTTTATAATCTCAACTGTGTGGTCTTTGGTGGCCAGAAACATTCTATTTTGGGAAATTCAACATCTGCGCACTGGCTATTTAATGAGTTACAGAGAAGGAGATTTGGGAAAGGGACAGGTATTTAACGGTGCAGTGATAGAAGGATGTTAATCTAATAATAGTTGAAGAAAGAGAGGAATATTTTTTCTAATGTATAAAATTACTAGAAGGAGAAGAACCAATGCAGGTTTGTAAATTATTTTGGTGGGAAAGATAATTTGACAGATGATGCCAAACTAACAACAAAATTGTTTTTACCCTTCAAATCATGAAGACAGTTGTTTTTGAAAAACCTTATAGTCATACAGCAGATTTTTGTTTAAGGTAGCAGTTCATCTGTGTGTGTGTGTATGGTTGTGCGATATTAATTTCAGAGCACCGTAGGGACCTAAGGTTGCTCATGCATAAATTTGTTGATTTGCATTTTTATATTTATGCGCACATTTGTGAGCCATTCATCGCAGGTTTCTGTGTGGGTGTGGATGTGTGCATGGGTGGGTGTGTGGGATATGCATTTGCTGTGTAGGCTTTTCACAGTATAGAAAATGCGTCATCTCACTGTTTGTTTTGGTTCTCTTTCTTTTCTCCCTCCTTTTTTCTTCTTTGTCCCCATCTCCCATTTCTCTCTTTCTCTCTCTTCTCTCATCCTTTCCCGCGCCTGTCATCTGTCTCCTCTCCCTCTCTGGATTATACTCTCTCAAATCTCTTGCCGCCCCTACCTCCCTTACATCTTTCCACTCCTCCCTCTCATCTCTTTAAATCCTCTCATTCCCACTGACCTCCATACCTATCCATCCTGTGCAGCGAGGAGGTGTGTAAACATGGCTTCACGGTCATCGTTGATATGCGTGGCTCTAAGTGGGACAGCATCAAGCCACTTCTGAAGATCCTGCAGGAGTCGTTCCCGTCCTGTATCCACGTCGCCCTCATCATCAAACCAGACAACTTCTGGCAGAAGCAGAGGACCAACTTTGGCAGCTCCAAGTTCGAATTTGAGGTGAGAAGGGGAAATCACTTTGATTCTTGCAATAAGAAATCAACAAGAAATAAGTTCTTATTCTTCTTATATAGCAATAAGAAATAATTTTATTTTGCATATTAGGCTAATGAGCTGCTTTCATCTGTAAAAACGTTGAAAACATGGCCTTTAACCTTTTAAATGAATAGGAGTAACACTCAGACAATAATTTTATTAAAATGCCAGAGGGGAGGAGAATTATGGATATCTCAGCCTTTGCTGTCAAAGCTTCAGACTGAAGAACTTCTGACTGTTAGTATTCAATTATATGCAGCTCAATAAAGGATAGATATTTTAGCATGATGTAATATATTTTTAAAAAGCACCAAGGTATAGAGAAGCTCAATTTTACATTTAGTTTTGTGTTGTAAAAGCCATCTGTTTTTCTTTCATTTGCTGTGAGTTGTAAAAAATGATACTGAGCTGCTCATTGTCAGCACATTTCATTATTTTCCCCTCTACGTTGCCTTTGGATGCCTGTATCACCAGCCAGCTGTTTGCCAAAGGAGAAAGTTCATCACATGCAACCCAGAAACAACACAGAGCAAATCACAAGGCCGTTTGCCAAGTTGTCAGTCAAGCATCTCATTTAATGATGTATTCACAAGGACAGGCTTATTTTTACACTTTGACCAGTTCTTAGTGATAAAGTGACCCCAACACATGCACTAGTGTGATGTTAATAACACTGGTACAACACTTGGAATATGCCAGAGTGCAGTTTTTCTGCTTTTATAGCCTGTTTAGTAAATGCCCTCTAATGAGATATCAGATAGATATCAGTTCCCCACCCTCTATTTTGATCTGTTATTATGAAGCCTTGATTTCTCTGATAATGATCAGCCTCTTGTTCATAGTAGCAAAACAGGGCTTACTATTACAGTACGTGCTGGGATTCCTGCACAGTGCGTTTTTGATATTGTCAGTGGAATTTTTTAGCCTTTCACTGTAGCTGCGTGATTGAATGCACTGGTGTGGAAATTGTTCTGATTGCTCACAAGCCTGCTACACTCTGATGCTGTATTGATTATTTGGTAGGGTAGATAGCTAGATGCCACAGGGCAGGTTCCAGTTATCCACCAGCTGCCCCACCATGCCATACAGCTATTGGTTGGATACACTGCATATGGATTTGTATTTGGGCCTTGTTCATCTCTCACTACCCGACCTTATATGTGTGTGCCTGTACCTTGTCACTTTAGATTTCTGAAGGTTATATAAAGAGAACATTTTCATTTTGGATTGTTTAAGTTAAGTTTAAATTACATACAGGGCTTTTGTTGGGACTACGGTTATGGCGAATGCCTGATTAAGCCAGTCTTCTACTTCCAGCATGTATACCTCTGATCAGCATGTACATGATTGTTACTGTAGTAAGAGTGTGTGTTTGTCTGTGTGTGTTTATCGTGGATTTTCTTGTCATTTTTTAAAATGACAACCATAGATGGGACAGGTTCCTCTCTTGTCTTCTCGCCTCCCTTGCTGTTCATGAGACAGACAGAAAATCAGCAGCAAGTGAAACTGTGCAGTTCTTTGGAAGGAGGAACACTACCCATGCAGCCCTGACCAGTTCTCCCTCTCACCATTCATAAGTACAAATTAATTAACCCGAACAGCAATAGTGAACATAGTGGTATCGGTATTTTCCAATGGCAGGAGCCAGTGTGCTGTTTTACCCAAGGACTACAGTATATCTCTGCATTGTTTGGCCTGCACAAAGCTAGCTGGTGATCATTCTGTCTCCAGCCATCTCTGGCCATGTGTGTGGGGGTGTTGTGTGGAGGTGGCTTAGCAGAAACACAGAGGCACTGAAACCAAACAGGGAGACATTTCCTCACTGTAGCTCTGAAATCAATATATGCAACTGTTACGTAGGGAGTTGTAGTATTTCATTTCACCACAAAGTGGAGGATGACCAGAGGTGGTCGAATAGAAAATGTGCCAAGGTGTTTTCAGTGGATTCATTCTGAGTTCAGAAGTCACAAAAGATAACAAGTTGTGCATGCAAGAGATTTTTTTTCTGGTCTGTGACACAATAGTGGATGCTGTAAAACATGCTTTTTAGTGCTTTATTAAATTTTTTTTAAGACCAGTGAAGCTGCAGTGTCCTGATTTGGCAGGATGATGAGGATAAAATATGCTTAAGTCATGTTATTGATGTATTAAGAGAAATATTACATGACTTCTGTAACAAATCACATTTCTGGAGCCCTGCTGTCATAAAAAAGCTGTTGCTACTTTTTGAGAACTAGGGGTTGATCATGTCTTCTCTAAATAACATTTTCAGTAGCATTTGAAGGCAGCAAAGAAAACATGGAGAGAGCGGCGAGATTAGAAGCATTTTGTACTCACTTGACTGAAATTAATTTAAATCCGTCATAAACCCCCTTCGATCCCTTTCCTACTCCTTAATGTCTTTTCCTCTAATTTTCTTCCTTTAGACCACTATGGTGTCACTGGAGGGCCTGACAAAAGTTGTGGACCCCTCCCAACTGACAGCAGACTTTGATGGCAGCCTGGACTACAACCACGAAGAGTGGATAGAGGTCAGTTAGCCCACCCATGCTGACAGTCAAGGCTACGCTTCAAGCCATCTGTCTGATCTGTAAATCTACCCTGAGATCACAGTAAGAAGGACGATACACTGGGTAGTTGTTCGTGTAAAGCCGAGCAGACACTGTACAGATTTAGCCAAATTTTAGATCTGCTTCAGTCGCCCTTGACTACTTTAAAGTCGGGCTGAATTTTGGCCCGATGAGTTTTCGTTTGGAGTACAGTGTAAGCAGGGTCCCAGTGCCTGATTAATCACCCAAATGACCAACAATCTAACTCCCGACTGCTTGGATGATTTTCTGGCAGGTCAGCTGTCCTGCAGGTCCAAGTTCGTTCATTGCTCTTGTCTGAGTACAAAGACAACAACATAATACAGATGAGATGTCACATTTTGTGGGCAGAATCAAACGAAATAAGGCCATAAACTGTATATATGATATGTTTATATACTGTCTTAGAATAAAGCTAATTGTGCTCTTTAAACACCATACTGTACAACATTTCTTCAACAGGAGAAATGCTGCTGTTCATTAGCTGTACAAATAAAATGGCTAAAAGTAAAACAGTTTTTCTTTTTGTTGACCTCAACTTTACTGGAGTTGTCAATGAATGCACCCACTCCGGGGTTCCTTTTAAACATCCAGTGTCACGTTGCCCAGATGAATGTAGAGTGTAAGAAGTCGATTCTGGTGTATCATACACAGGCAGTAAAATCACACATTGTCTGCCTGGCTTAAAGCACGTGTGAAAAACTAAAACAACTACATAACCAAAAAGCTGACACAAGCAGTCGTCAGTCATAGACATCTAGCTTTAGATATTGACTTAATGACCTTTACTTTGATGTTTGCCTGTATTTTTGGCCAGGTGCGTGTGGCGTTTGAGGAATTTTCTGGGCATGCCAACCAGATGCTGGCCAGACTAGAGGAGATGCAGGAAACTGTGTCACGGAAAGACTTTCCCCAAGACCTGGAAGGAGCCAGGAGGATGATAGAAGAACATGCCACGCTGAAGAAGAAAGTGATAAAAGCTCCTATAGAGGAGCTGGACACTGAGGGACAAAGGTAAGCACACAGATATTTTTATTGATTTATTTAGTTTTTGCTTAAATTGTGACTGAATAGTTGGACAAAAGCTGGAACCTTCCATCACTGTCTTACAGATGTTTTTCCTCTTTGCTTGGTTGTTTAAAAAAAAATAGGCTTTTTACCTTCTTGTCTTCAGATGTTTGATTCTTTGTCAATTGTGGCTACATTTTATGGTCATGCAAAAACTATATATGTACAGCCCTTGCCTTGTTTTATTTTTACTTGTTAGTAGGTTTTTGTGATATTTTCTTTAACTGAAACTTACTCCTTTGATACACTTCTGAAAAAGCGTCAACTGAAAATTTGAATGTTAATTCAGTTCAATTCACGTTAAGGGGCAATTTGTGGAAAGCAGATGTGCAAAAACTGTTCATATGCATAAAAACAAAATATGGGAAAAGATTGGAAAAGATAAAAAGTTAGGTCAAAGATTTCTCATATAACATTTCACAGAAACGTATAACACTGCTCAGTAAAGCCGTTTACAACTTTCACATTGATTTTTACAAATGAAATGCTTTTGCAGATTGCTCCAGCGCATCCAAAGCAGCGATTCTTTCTCTAACCGGAACGGCAGCAGTGGCGGCAGCGGTGGGAGCAGCGGTGGGAGCAGCGGTAGCAGCAGCGGAGGGGTGTGTAGCACTGACACCCAGGGCCTGGTCCCACGCATCACCCAGTTGCTTGACAAGCTGCACTCCACCCGACAGCACCTCCACCAGTCCTGGCATGTCCGCAAGCTCCAGCTAGACCAGTGCTTCCAGCTGCGCCTGTTCGAACAGGATGCAGAGAAGGTTGGTGGATCGTGGGAGTTGTTCAGTGTGAGCAGTGATGTAGTTGTAATCCATAGCTACAGTCGTTGTTGATCACTGTAGGGCGGACAACTTCCAGTTTAAACAAAAACTTAATTACACCCACAGGGAAGCATTGAGTTACAATATGATGTGTGTGAATAGATTATGAATTATTGTTCTTTTTAATTTGTCCTTTAAACAGAGACTTAAACTTTATTTCACAAATATTAATGGGAGGTAAAAACTAATTGACTTGACCTGCCATCGCATCCCAGGATAAGACACAGGAAGATGGAGGATGGCTTTCACAGGTACAGGGCCACTTACCCAGATAGATCAGATGATGACAGCTACAGCACAAAATAGAAAGAGACAGGGAGAGAAATTCAGAGATCCATGTGTGAGAGAGTGGAATAAAATAGCAGGTTGCAGCAATAGAGAGTGCTGCAGTCTTGGATACACTGCAGTAGTAGGAGCTTGTTGCTAGGACACCATAGGCCAGAAGTTGTTCTCTAGGAGAGCCTGAGAGGATGCTCTTAATAGAGGCGGTCCATTTCTGAGTTCTGACCTGGAAAGATGACAACTCTGTGCATACTGCAGCAGTACACAAACATGCTCAGATTTATACACACAGCTAAGTACCAGCTGTTTGTTTTTATATGCTCTTACAGTGATCTGTAAAAGTCAGTGGTGTGCCTGCATCTTGTGTATATATGTTTTTATTTTTATCTCACTGTGTTTGTGCGTCTGTTCTGTCATTCCCTATGCTTCAGATGTTTGATTGGATCATGCACAACAAGGGTTTGTTCCTAGCAGGCTACACAGAGATCGGCAACAACCACCCCCACGCCATGGAGCTGCAAACCCAGCACAACCACTTCGCTATGAATTGCATGGTGAGACACAGAAACATACACACACAATGAGTTCCAGCAGGAGGTAGTGCTTTTCTGCCCACTTGGACTATCAAGCCCATGCCCTGCACTCTATAATCATGTTGTTATTGCACTTTGTGTCAACCCATAGTGCTGTATTTTAGTGTTTGTTTGGAGCTGCTGCTTCTTGTACACACACTTGCACATGTTTTGTATGTTAGTAGCTGCATAACCAGAGGTATTAAGTAATATTATTCTTTACCCACAGTCGGCCTTATGTAACCATTATGAAACTGTTGAGATGAAAAATCAATTTAGCTGCTAGTTTGTCTGTGGATGAGAAATGATAATGACAGCCCAGGAGCCCTTGCCTCAGTCTGTCCTCCTTTTCTACTTGCAGTGCTTCCTCCTTTCCTCAAACCTGTCACCTCCTTTGCCTAGTTTTTGTTTTTCTCGATCTCTTTTTGAATTGGTTCTCATCCACTGCTGTGTGCTTAATTTATCCACAACCCTCTGTTCAACCATCCCTATCTTACCATGCAGAATGTGTATGTGAATATCAACCGCATCATGTCAGTTGGGAACCGGCTGCTGGAGTCAGGTCACTACGCCTCCCAGCAGATCAAGCAGATCTCAGGCCAGTTGGAGCAGGAGTGGAAGGCCTTCGCCGCAGCACTGGATGAACGTAGCACGCTGCTGGAGATGTCAGCCAGCTTTCACCAGAAATGTGACCAGGTGAGTCAGACACAAATATGCTGACATAGATGCAAGGCTGCAACTGGAGAATACTTAAATTATTAATTAATCTTATCAATACTTTAAGTAATCCATTCATAAAATCTATAAAATGTCAGAATATAGTGAAAATTCCCCCAACATATGTGCCCATAGTGCCCAAGGTGATGTGTTCAAATTGCTTGTTTTGTTTAAACTGCTTTTCTAAATTGAACAATATTCACTTTGATATCATATAAAACAAAAAAAAACTGTGGGAAATCTTGATATTTAAGAGCCTGAAACAAGCAGTTTTTTGGTATTTTACCTTTAAAAATGACAATGGAACAATGGAATGATAATCCGATATTGTTGGTTGATTCTCTGTCAATCATTTTGACTCTTCCAGTGTTTAGTTTACAATGTCTTCAGGTTTTCAAGAATAGCATAAAAAATAATGAAGCATTTCTAGCTCTGAAGATTTGACAAAAACCTTACTCTGAAGTCAGTGATACCGAACTACAAAGACCAAATTTGATGTAGTATATCTAGAGGCACTTCTGTGTCCGTTTTTAATTATTAATCATAGTAAAACTTTTAACAAAAGTCAAATTCATACAACGGTTTCAGAACAGAAATGGCTGATTTTTCATTATTGTGTTGTCAATATATCACTGAACTACTGGGAAAACTACTTTTTTTGGTATCTGCTCTTAAATATACATCCTGTAGTTTTGTTTGGTAATTAAACAAAACTCATGTACAGTAACTCTTATAATTGGTTGATGTTGAAGAAATAGTTCAGTGTTTTGGGACACTTTCATTTTCTTGATAAACATTAGATGAGACCACTGATAGCAATTTCATGTCTGTATGCTAAATATGAAGCCAATTAGCTTAGCTTAGCACACAGACTGGAAATTGTGGGAAGCACCTAGCCTGGCTCTGTTCAGTAGTAACAAAATCTGACTATTAAAACCTCCAATCTCACCACATTACACATATAATAATTATATAGTATTATGTGTCGAGGTGTTGACCTTGACCATTCCAATGGGCGCACATGTGCACACTTTCAGGATTTTAAAATACCCATTTGGCTTCATTAAATCTATAAATCCTAACAAATGTATTCCAATAACATATTTACATAAGTATATGCAGTATACCATTTCTTTACCATTTTTTCTGTCTGTGTTGGAATGATTCATGGCCTGAAAAAGCACACAGGCAGAATCCCAACTGGGGAATATGGGTGGTACAACTTTTCCAATCTGGAATATTGTCGTCATCAGATCAGCCTTTCATGATTGTAAGCAGAAATAGGAACTTTTTTTTTCCAGAGGTTTCACCCCAACCTTTTTTCCTCTGACCATGCAGAGCAGCTCATTTAGAGTTTTTGTGCTACTCATGTATCTTATTCCAGTTGTCATAGTAGAGAGATTTAAAAAGCAACAACGAGATGGCCTAACCCTAACCCCCTCTTAATTTCTTTAAATAATATTTCATTGACCCCATCTCTGTGACTGTTTTGTTTTCCTCCCTTCCCACCAGGGGCATACTCATTTTTAAGAAGTCACTACAGGCCAATGAATTTCAATTCAATTCAGTTCAATTCAAACTTATTTGTATAGCACCAAATCACAATATCTCAGGGGACTTTACAAAGTAAGGTCTAGACCTTACTATTATCACTATTATTATAGAGGAAACCCCAACAAATCCCTCTTGAGCAAGAACTTGGTGATAGTGTGGAGGAAAAACTCCCTTTAACGGAAGAAACCTCCGACAGACCCCGGCTCTTGGTGGGCGGCCTTCTGCCTCGACCGGTTGGGGTGAGTGGATAGAGGAGAGACAAAAGAAATAAAAGCAACAAGACAAAACAAACAACAACAAATACTGAGCAGGTTGATGTGGCTAAAGTCGGGCAGGTGTGACTGCTCGTCAGCAACGTAGAGCTCGAGAGCCAGGGCAACCTGCAGAAAGGTACAGGAACACACTACAGGAGAGAGGACACACACAGTTAGTGATGCTGACATTAATGAACAGCTCATTCAGCCATGGATAATTCTTCTGAAAAAAAATCTTGAAGCTCATAACCATTCACAAAGACATTTATTCATATTTAAGCTCAGTAATAGTAAAGAAAATGTCCCTCAGGTGATGTGTATGTCAGACTAACATGTAGCTCCTAGGAAGAGCACAAGAATGTATCCAGCTCGTGCCATTTCTCATGTGAAACGCTTTGTATTTAACATGCAGTTTGCTTACATTTGTTTCTTTTCCTGCAGTACATGAGTAACGTGGAATCGTGGTGTAAGGCATGTGGTGAAGTGGATTTGCCCTCTGAGCTGCAAGACCTTGAAGATGCTATCCACCATCACCAAGGCCTGTACGAACACATCACAGCTGCCTACTCTGAGGTAACATTACACTTGTGGAAATGTGCAAAAAAGTCAACATATCCCTAGAGGCAGTAATGCCTGAAAATTAATGTCAACATAATTAAAACATGGACGGTTATGGTTTAGTTTGCAGCAATGCCATTAGTTGCTGCCTTAAAAATATCAGTAGTGTTTGTTTTCCTTTTGTCTGTTCAGTTTGCTTGCTGTTTGTACTTGGATGATGTTTATATTTACAGATCAAGTCAAATACTCAATGATAGCTTTGCACATTTGTGTAATAGCTGAGAGTAGAGAATACAATCAATTTCCTACCCTTAGGTAAGCCAAGATGGCAAAGCCTTGTTGGACAAGCTGCAGCGCCCTTTGACCCCGGGCAGCACCGATTCACTCACAGCATCAGCAAACTACTCCAAGGCAGTGCATCATGTTCTGGACATTATCCACGAGGTGCTACATCATCAGAGACAGCTGGAAAACATCTGGCAGCACCGCAAAGTGCGTCTGCACCAGCGTCTGCAGCTGTGCGTCTTTCAACAGGATGTCCAACAGGTACACACGCACATACATGCTTTTGTTTATATGCATACACCTGTTTATTCCAAGTCATGGTAATCCAAGGACCAAACTTAATTTCCAGTTTTTTTCAGTATAACACAATATGGGTAGACAATAATTTCATAACTCACAAGTCGCCTACTGCTTGTATTTTTAATAGGGTGTTAGAGATCAGCAGCAGCCATGCTCCTGTCAAAATGTCTTGAGGGCGTAGCAAGAAGCTTGTGTGTTCGCTCATCATGAGTTTCTGCAACAAAGAACATTGGACAAATGCCTGAAATATGAATGTTGTCTGTTGAAGAAAGGCTTGAAAACAGCTATAAGACATGCTCTCGTCAACTGCTCA